TTAACCTCAGTTTTTGGCCGAACTCCGCTATCCAAACCTATTTTTGCCCTTGTAGAGTTCATTCAAACCCAGAACTTTAGCAGATCTAGTCCAGCGATCCATAGGAATTTTTTAGCATTGAAAAAAAAATATATATGTAAGTACTTTATTTCATTATTTCACACAAAAGATACTCTATTTATTAATACTAATTATAATCGTTCAGGTATTATATATACTCTAATAATCGCTAGTATTGCGTGATTTATTATATTAGCTTGGAAATATTTTTAGAATACGATTCTTTTTCATCATCGCTATAAAAATTTTTGACAATTACATAATTCAGACTAGTATATAATAATCTATTTATTTATTATCTTTATTATATCAAAATCAGTGTTGATAGTGTTGATACTTATCTTAAGTTTTTTTTTTAATTAGTAGAGGCTTTCCAATGACCACAAGCAAAAGATTTATCTTGTGCTCTTGCTATTTTGGTTCTTTTATATAATAATATCGGTTTATTAGAGTATGAAACTAAGAGCTTACAGACAAAACAGCATGCAGATAGTAATTTATCAAAAGATCGTCTTCTATTGTATAATAATTTTTTCCAGAATTGGTTCAAATTTAAACATATTTAGAAGATTTTTCTTTATGTGAAAAGTATTATAACCAATTAATTGTATCTGATTTTTTGTACCAAATACTTTTAAATTTAAATCTGCTCAATTACCCAAGAAATAATCAAAAATAAAAAAAATATAGTAATAATTTTGATAATGAATTTGGTGAAATGCAGACTTGTATGCAGTATACTTGTGATAAAAATATATGTGAAATTGGGTACAAGCTAGTACACAAACTAACAAGATTGGTATATAAGTTAATAAAGAGACCCACGAGATCAGCATCCAAATATTCGATACTATATTGCATATTCTTGAAAATCATATTTGCTTATTTCAATTAGAGTTAGATTTAAAAATAAATAAGATAAATAACCTTAAAAAACAGTTAGAATATGCATATGATTATATAGTAGAGAGTTGGAATAATATCTAAGAAATAAATAAAGTAAATAAAAAACTAACTGAACAAAATAATACGTTAAAATATGAATAGGAAAATCGGTATAATAGTCAAAAAATAAGAATTGATTCCATTATTCAAATCGCGAACCAAAAATGCTAAAGTGTTTATAATGATATCGAGTTATTAATTTTGAATAAGCAACGATTTTCTCTTAATAATTTATTAGATTTTGTTTTCAATAATTGGTTAGCTAATCGCAACCAAGTAATTATTAATTTTATTAATATTCTTACACGTAATAGTTGTAATAATTATACTTCAAATAAAAAGATTTTTAAAAAAATAGTTGCTATTGATGCTATATATGGATCAAGACATAAAAACTATGTATCAGAAATAAATTTAGCTATAACAGGGATCAAATATTCACTAGCATGATCTAAGACAATTATTGATATTGATAACCATATAATTAGTTTTGGAGGTTATATGAAATTCATTCATTGGTTGAAATCATTAGCAGTCAAAAATAAACCCTTATCTAAAGGACTTTTGTTTTTAGGCTTCAACAATAAATAACATGATCAGTTTAATTATCTTGATCGTGGGCATAATACACAGTTATCTATCATACAGTTACAAGTTTTATTATACTAAATATGAATAAAAACAATTATGTCTAATTTACAATTGTACCATAGATTTGTAATCTGATATCTGATAACCAGTATGAAAAATTATATTATGTTTTATTCGAAATGCAAGCAGAGCATGACTAAGAACTAAAAATCTACTTATTATCAATTTTAGAAGAGCTTGTTATTAAAAAAAATAAAAAAATCAATAATATCAATACGGCTACAAAAATCAAAAGGGCATCAAAGGTTAATCGAGTGGTGCAAAAAATGTAATACAACTAATATAGATAATAAAAAACGTAACTGTCCTCAATATAATGAAAAATTAGACACATTGGCCACTTTACAAGCAGAGTTTGCTACTGAAAATATTCAAAATGATAATCCAACACACTCAAAACCCTTGTAATAAAGTCTCACACATATGCACAAGAGCAAGAAAATCTACAATTTAATCGTATTAATATTATACAATATTCAAATTCTGAACACAGTATTATTGTTCCTGAAATGTATATGCCAGATCTATTAGAATATAACCCT